AAAACAAACTTACTTATAATATATATATATATATATATATATATATATATAAATAAATTTCGGAAATATTTTACAAAATACGTAAAATTGATTATGCTTTTTTTGCGAATTAATAATATATTCTTGTCATGTATATTCGCCCGTGGAACAGCAGTCGAGTTAAAAAAGTTCTTTTTACTTTTTGCGGATCGCTTACCAAAATCCGCGCTACTAACAGCAAGACTCATTAAAAAGTGCTGCGAGCTACTCTGAATTTCTGAAGAGATACTTAGAGAGTAACAAAAAATGGAGCAAGTTGAGAGACCGTTGGCCTCATCTTTTCAACTTTGCCCTAGCAAATCCACGTTTTTAAAGTGCCTTTATTTTTTAATAATCTTACAAAGAAAAATTGTATAAGAGAAACAAATAACTACATTATGAATAAAGCAACTTAAAAATAATTAAATTTTTTGTATCGTCGAGACTAGCCTGACATTTTTTATAGAAAAAAATTCTGAAGAATGAAAGAATTTTGAGAGCTATAATACTATTTTATCTATATATTCACAATGCGCACGATGCGCAACTCGAGTTTTCGCGTCGATGCTTTTTTGCGAAATAAATGTGCAAAATGTCCGTACAGGCGATTTTTTTCCGACAGCGTTATAACGCTAAACAAAGAGAGAAAAAAAAAAAAATACGGCGAATAGAATACCGACCTTCCCTATCAGCTCGATAATATCCCATCCGGCTTATTTTTACCCTCTCATTCGCCGGCGCGATGCTCGGGGGCAGACCTTATATAAATGCACCCCATTGCTACCGTTTCTCTATAAGCACCCTCCTCCCCCCCCCCTCCCCTCGATTCTCGAGCCACAAAATACCGTGACCTTCTGACTCCCCCGCGGCTTCTCGCGCGCGTCTAACTGTTAAGCTTCCTATGTATTCTCTTTGGAGCACGCCGCTGGCATTAAGCCGAAGAGATTATTGCGTGCCGCTCTATCCCATTCGACGCTCTTTCCGAGATCGGCAGATTTAATGTTCTTAATAATGCAGCCGGCAGTGAATAACATAACAAAGAGATTAATGAGCGGAGTTATTAATCAACAACGGACTGTGGCTGAATATGACAAATTATCAGCAGGCGATAAAACGGTGCGGAATGAACTGAAATATTAATCGCGATATAACTCTGTCTATTTATAAACTCTGTCGATTTAACTAATAGTTTAGACAGATAATTGTGCGATTTGCAAATTCAATGAGAGTCATATGGCGTGACATATGGTTTAACATGGTTTAATCATCATAGAAATTAATTATGCGACAATGTTTGATAATTTTCGTCACAAGATTCGTCACGTATTATGTTAAAAATTAGCTGGTTAAAAGCCAAGGCGCTTCGTTTTTTTCCCATGAATAATGTATGTAACACGTTATGTTTTCGTGCGTCGTGTGTTCTAAAATTATCCCGTACAAACATGCAAATTGCGCATCTGTGATTTTCGCAGATTAACACAGGTCTTCTTCGA